CTACGGAAAAATCGGCTAAGCAGAGAAAGTTTAAATCACACCTGCTAGCGCACTTCTCAAGATGTTTACGTACTAGGTCAGTAGGCGGTAGGGTACACCATGTTTTGTGGCTGTTCAAACACATGAGCATCTACTCTATGAAAGCAATCTGGTCGAATGTGTTTGACTACCTCTGGAAGTGGCCAAAAATAGACAAGCTCAAAAAAAAAATTAGCCCCTTTTTACACCACAGTCCACTTGTGACCTGATGTACAAAAATGCTTCTAAGTACCAGGTGTAAACAAGGCCTTGGACAGCTACCTAGTTGGGATACAACAGTTAAGGGATTAATGCTTAAATGAAAGCAGTCTACTTTTCAATAAACATTACTGGGACTAGCCTGGAATAAAACCACCATCAACCTGCACTCATCCTTTATCCCAAGATATGAGTCTATACTTGCGTGACTGTAAAAAAAGCATTACAAAAAGCCAACAAGTGACCTTAGAGGGGGTTTGGGCATCAATATATGCAGTTATGCTAGTCCAGCCATAAAGTCGTATGTAAAGCCTCAAACAGACAGTAGCTAAAACCTTCATTTGATATGTGAAACATGAACAGGGGCCCAAGTGAACAACTAGAACTTGGCAAATAGTAAAGTTAAATGGCTTAGGCAGAAACCTGGCTTGTTTAGTTCAAGTCAAGAATCTCAATGGACGAAAGAAAAAGGTTTAGTAGTGCAGCCCTAGAAGTCAAACTGAGAACAGTCATGAAACATCCAACTCCAGTCAGAAATGAATACCAAAGAGAAACATGTTGAGTTTCATGAAGTTTATTAAAACACTAAAATTCACTTGACCAGGTTAACTTCTCCACTAGACACCACAGTTTGCCCACTAGAGATGGTCTTGACGTGCGTGTCTCTTCCTGTAAAAAGTGGTAGAAGCATGAGGGGCATTTAAATAAGTTCTCAGTTCCTGAAGTCAACTTACAGCAAGCACTCACTTTTCCTAGTGCAGCTTTGCTCACAGGAGCCAGAGGAGGGATGGCACACCGCTGTACTACAGTGGATGAAGATCTAACAGAGGGGGAAAGGGTTAAGCCATAGAATTACCTGTAAAAAGCACTAATATTAAGGGTTGAGGTAAGGCTGCAGAGCATACGGTTTCCTGCAGAGGAGCCAGTGATGCTGGATCTACAAATGTGAACATCTTCACAACAAAGCGCTTGTAGTGGCTCGGGAACTGAAGACCAGATGACCCAGTCACTGGAACCAATGTGGTCAGGTAACGATCATCCTGGTAAGGGCATCTGAAAGGCAAAGAGGCAGTCAGAAATGCCTTACAGCACACTAGATGGATAAAGACGGGCCTTACTCACCCATCAACCAGAAGATCCCATTGGGGTAGACTGAGTGGACTGGGGGTTGATGTCGCCCAGCAATGTCCCAGCATCAGGACAATGTTGGGGTCGGTCCTCTCCAAAATGTGCACCTCAACATACACAGGCTCCCGCAGGACTTTTGTAACTGGATAATCAGCATCACTGTAGTAGGACGTGTACGCCTCGTCCCCTGAGGAAGAATGCAGGGTTTAACTAGAAACTGGAGTTTTAGAAAGGCTTTAGGCATACTTGGGACAAACACTTACCTTCTGCACAGCCTTTGGTGACACATTGACCATTTGCCAGTCTAAGCTCCACCCTGAGGGGTCCAGGAGCAGCTACTGGTGGAGGTGGAGGAACGGTGTTGACCTCCACAACCAGAGCTTCCACAGAGGTACCAGAGTACCTACACTGGAAGAGAAGCCTGGACAACAAACAGTGAGCTTGTAGCATTTGTCAATGATTCACATTTATGATAAAGCATACATCACTTACTCAAAATGGCTGTCCCTTGTGATGGAACCAAGTGGTCCGACACCCACTTCATATGAGGAGGTCATTCTGTTTTCATACACCACATATCCACTGTCCTCCTGCAAATAGTAACATTGTTGGCATCCAATCCATTCTAAGCCATGCAGAACAAAACCACAAGCAGCTACTCGCCATCATGCTTGTGCCACATGCAGTGACGGGGAACTGGTATATAGCAAAGAAAGGTGTGGATCCCACAGGACTGCAAGCTGGATCATTTCCACCCAGGAGACGGACTGAATCCAGGCTCAATCGAGGCAGCGTAACATCTCTCGCCACCACTACCACAAACTGACCATCTCTTATACACTGGACAGTCACTGGAACGAGTTACAAGAGCAGGTTATTGCTGAGGATCAGTTTAACATGAATGCCTCTACATTGACTCTACACTCTTACCTGCCTTCCCATAGTAACACTGCTGTCCATTAAAGCAGCAGTTGATAGCAGCACACTCAGCACCACTGATACCAGGTGGTCCACATTGGATCTGCTCATAATCAGCTACAGTACATTTGTCAAGTGGTTCTGCCTTTGCCACTGGCTGCTTAGGCTGAAACTGCTGAGGAAACTGTTGACCTGCTTGTTGAACTGACTGAGGAAACTGTTGACTAGCTTGCTGTTGAACCGGCTTTTGAACCTGCTGAGGAAACTGTTGACTAGCTTGTTGAACTGACTGAGGAAACTGTTGACCTGCTTGCTGTTGAACCGGCTTTTGAACCTGCTGAGGAAACTGTTGACTAGCTTGTTGAACTGACTGAGGAAACTGTTGACCTGCTTGCTGTTGAACTGACTGAGGAAACTGTTGACTAGCTTGCTGTTGAACTGGCTTTTGAACCTGCTGAGGAAACCATTGACTAGCTTGCTGTTGAACCTGCTGAGGAAACTGTTGACTAGCTTGCTGTTGAAGTGGCTTTTGAACCTGCTGAGGAAACCATTGACTAGCTTGCTGTTGAACCTGCTGAGGAAACCGTTGACTAGCTTGCTGTTGAACTGGCTTTTGAACCTGCTGAGGAAACCATTGACTAGCTTGCTGTTGAACTGGCTTTTGAACCTGCTGAGGAAACTGTTGACTAGCTTGTTGAACTGACTGAGGAAACTGTTGAATAGCTTGCTGTTGAACCGGCTTTTGAACCTGCTGAGGAAACCATTGACTAGCTTGCTGTTGAACTGGCTTTTGAACCTGCTGAGGAAACCATTGACTAGCTTGCTGTTGAACCTGCTGAGGAAACCGTTGACTAGCTTGCTGTTGAACTGGCTTTTGAACCTGCTGAGGAAACCATTGACTAGCTTGCTGTTGAACTGGCTTCTGAAACCGCTGGTCAGTTTGCCGGAACATCAGAGCTTGAGGATTCTGGGGCAGATCACTCCACTTCGGAACAGCATGACAGAAAGCACAGAACCAAACACAAAGTGCCAGAGACTGAACAGCACACCAACTTCCTGCCATTGTTCAACAGCTAGTCACACTGCTGAGATGCTGCCCTTTGGTCTTTTTGTACTCTACAGACTTTGGGTAATTAATGATAATCCCTCCCTCTTCATTAAAAGTCATGATTCTCCAGACTTGCACTCCAGAGTGGGATTTTATGCAACTAGGTGATTCCATTTTTCTTGTTTTTCCACCCTTTTGAACATACATAAAACCACATTGAGCTGATTTCACAATAGTATGCTAGAACTATTTCTGCCATTTGAATTCAGCCTTATTTTATCCTTCAGTAGCTGAATATTATATTAGATGTTTTAGCTATTCTGGATTGTTTTATGGCAACAGGCCTGTATATTCAGGGTATGATTCAATAACAACGATGTACTAAAAACAGAAACGTTTTTCCGTTGATATTTTCGTGGGCGGACGACAACATAGGATGACCACCTCTCCCGCATTCTGCAGCGGGACAGTCCCGAAATTGTGAGTTTTGTCCCGCAAGACATAAATAGTGTCCCGCATTTCAGTTATGTCTGTATTATTATTCTTTTTTCCTTCCCTAAAATTACAATACCACAGTAAGAAATATAATAAAAACTGTGCCTGGCATTTAAAAATCTATTTGTGCAGCCATCATGTTCAAGTTGTGGAAATAACCAACCAACATACGCAATCGTAGAGAGGTTTTCCCGCTGACGACAACTAAATGGACAGTGCAAAGAAATAAGTGCAGGCCTCATCAAAGTCTGTAAACACAGCTATACCAGCAAGAATTTCATCTCACATTCTGGATAAGAACCTCAAGAGCTGCTCAAATTGATGATTTAAAGCATGTAATCATACATCCTGATGGCCACCTACAGAAATGGTCGAGCAACTACGGAAAAATCGGCTAAGCAGAGAAAGTTTAAATCACACCTGCTAGCGCACTTCTCAAGATGTTTACGTACTAGGTCAGTAGGCGGTAGGGTACACCATGTTTTGTGGCTGTTCAAACACATGAGCATCTACTCTATGAAAGCAATCTGGTCGAATGTGTTTGACTACCTCTGGAAGTGGCCAAAAATAGACAAGCTCAAAAAAAAAATTAGCCCCTTTTTACACCACAGTCCACTTGTGACCTGATGTACAAAAATGCTTCTAAGTACCAGGTGTAAACAAGGCCTTGGACAGCTACCTAGTTGGGATACAACAGTTAAGGGATTAATGCTTAAATGAAAGCAGTCTACTTTTCAATAAACATTACTGGGACTAGCCTGGAATAAAACCACCATCAACCTGCACTCATCCTTTATCCCAAGATATGAGTCTATACTTGCGTGACTGTAAAAAAAGCATTACAAAAAGCCAACAAGTGACCTTAGAGGGGGTTTGGGCATCAATATATGCAGTTATGCTAGTCCAGCCATAAAGTCGTATGTAAAGCCTCAAACAGACAGTAGCTAAAACCTTCATTTGATATGTGAAACATGAACAGGGGCCCAAGTGAACAACTAGAACTTGGCAAATAGTAAAGTTAAATGGCTTAGGCAGAAACCTGGCTTGTTTAGTTCAAGTCAAGAATCTCAATGGACGAAAGAAAAAGGCTTAGTAGTGCAGCCCTAGAAGTCAAACTGAGAACAGTCATGAAACATCCAACTCCAGTCAGAAATGAATACCAAAGAGAAACATGTTGAGTTTCATGAAGTTTATTAAAACACTAAAATTCACTTGACCAGGTTAACTTCTCCACTAGACACCACAGTTTGCCCACTAGAGATGGTCTTGACGTGCGTGTCTCTTCCTGTAAAAAGTGGTAGAAGCATGAGGGGCATTTAAATAAGTTCTCAGTTCCTGAAGTCAACTTACAGCAAGCACTCACTTTTCCTAGTGCAGCTTTGCTCACAGGAGCCAGAGGAGGGATGGCACACCGCTGTACTACAGTGGATGAAGATCTAACAGAGGGGGAAAGGGTTAAGCCATAGAATTACCTGTAAAAAGCACTAATATTAAGGGTTGAGGTAAGGCTGCAGAGCATACGGTTTCCTGCAGAGGAGCCAGTGATGCTGGATCTACAAATGTGAACATCTTCACAACAAAGCGCTTGTAGTGGCTCGGGAACTGAAGACCAGATGACCCAGTCACTGGAACCAATGTGGTCAGGTAACGATCATCCTGGTAAGGGCATCTGAAAGGCAAAGAGGCAGTCAGAAATGCCTTACAGCACACTAGATGGATAAAGACGGGCCTTACTCACCCATCAACCAGAAGATCCCATTGGGGTAGACTGAGTGGACTGGGGGTTGATGTCGCCCAGCAATGTCCCAGCATCAGGACAATGTTGGGGTCGGTCCTCTCCAAAATGTGCACCTCAACATACACAGGCTCCCGCAGGACTTTTGTAACTGGATAATCAGCATCACTGTAGTAGGACGTGTACGCCTCGTCCCCTGAGGAAGAATGCAGGGTTTAACTAGAAACTGGAGTTTTAGAAAGGCTTTAGGCATACTTGGGACAAACACTTACCTTCTGCACAGCCTTTGGTGACACATTGACCATTTGCCAGTCTAAGCTCCACCCTGAGGGGTCCAGGAGCAGCTACTGGTGGAGGTGGAGGAACGGTGTTGACCTCCACAACCAGAGCTTCCACAGAGGTACCAGAGTACCTACACTGGAAGAGAAGCCTGGACAACAAACAGTGAGCTTGTAGCATTTGTCAATGATTCACATTTATGATAAAGCATACATCACTTACTCAAAATGGCTGTCCCTTGTGATGGAACCAAGTGGTCCGACACCCACTTCATATGAGGAGGTCATTCTGTTTTCATACACCACATATCCACTGTCCTCCTGCAAATAGTAACATTGTTGGCATCCAATCCATTCTAAGCCATGCAGAACAAAACCACAAGCAGCTACTCGCCATCATGCTTGTGCCACATCCAGTGACGGGGAACTGGTATATAGCAAAGAAAGGTGTGGATCCCACAGGACTGCAAGCTGGATCATTTCCACCCAGGAGACGGACTGAATCCAGGCTCAATCGAGGCAGCGTAACATCTCTCGCCACCACTACCACAAACTGACCATCTCTTATACACTGGACAGTCACTGGAACGAGTTACAAGAGCAGGTTATTGCTGAGGATCAGTTTAACATGAATGCCTCTACATTGACTCTACACTCTTACCTGCCTTCCCATAGTAACACTGCTGTCCATTAAAGCAGCAGTTGATAGCAGCACACTCAGCACCACTGATACCAGGTGGTCCACATTGGATCTGCTCATAATCAGCTACAGTACATTTGTCAAGTGGTTCTGCCTTTGCCACTGGCTGCTTAGGCTGAAACTGCTGAGGAAACTGTTGACCTGCTTGTTGAACTGACTGAGGAAACTGTTGACTAGTATGTTGTTGAACTGACTGAGAAAACTGTTGACTAGCTTGTTGAACTGACTGAGGAAACTGTTGACCTGCTTGCTGTTGAACTGACTGAGGAAACTGTTGACTAGCTTGCTGTTGAACCGGCTTTTGAACCTGCTGAGGAAACTGTTGACTAGCATGTTGTTGAACTGACTGAGAAAACTGTTGACTAGCTTGTTGAACTGACTGAGGAAACTGTTGACCTGCTTGCTGTTGAACTGACTGAGGAAACTGTTGACTAGCTTGCTGTTGAACTGGCTTTTGAACCTGCTGAGGAAACCATTGACTAGCTTGCTGTTGAACTGGCTTTTGAACCTGCTGAGGAAACCATTGACTAGCTTGCTGTTGAACCTGCTGAGGAAACCGTTGACTAGCTTGCTGTTGAACTGGCTTTTGAACCTGCTGAGGAAACCATTGACTAGCTTGCTGTTGAACTGGCTTCTGAAACCGCTGGTCAGTTTGCCGGAACATCAGAGCTTGAGGATTCTGGGGCAGATCACTCCACTTCGGAACAGCATGACAGAAAGCACAGAACCAAACACAAAGTGCCAGAGACTGAACAGCACACCAACTTCCTGCCATTGTTCAACAGCTAGTCACACTGCTGAGATGCTGCCCTTTGGTCTTTTTGTACTCTACAGACTTTGGGTAATTAATGATAATCCCTCCCTCTTCATTAATAGTCATGATTCTCCAGACTTGCACTCCAGAGTGGGATTTTATGCAACTAGGTGATTCCATTTTTCTTGTTTTTCCACCCTTTTGAACATACATAAAACCACATTGAGCTGATTTCACAATAGTATGCTAGAACTATTTCTGCCATTTGAATTCAGCCTTATTTTATCCTTCAGTAGCTGAATATTATATTAGATGTTTTAGCTATTCTGGATTGTTTTATGGCAACAGGCCTGTATATTCAGGGTATGATTCAATAACAACGATGTACTAAAAACAGAAACGTTTTTCCGTTGATATTTTCGTGGGCGGACGACAACATAGGATGACCACCTCTCCCGCATTCTGCAGCGGGACAGTCCCGAAATTGTGAGTTTTGTCCCGCAAGACATAAATAGTGTCCCGCATTTCAGTTATGTCTGTATTATTATTCTTTTTTCCTTCCCTAAAATTACAATACCACAGTAAGAAATATAATAAAAACTGTGCCTGGCATTTAAAAATCTATTTGTGCAGCCGTCATGTTCAAGTTGTGGAAATAACCAACCAACATACGCAATCGTAGAGAGGTTTTCCCGCTGACGACAACTAAATGGACAGCGCAAAGAAATAAGTGCAGGCCTCATCAAAGTCTGTAAACAAAGCTATACCAGCAAGAATTTCATCTCACATTCTGGATAAGAACCTCAAGAGCTGCTCAAATTGATGATTTAAAGCATGTAATCATACATCCTGATGGCCACCTACAGAAATGGTCGAGCAACTACGGAAAAATCGGCTAAGCAGAGAAAGTTTAAATCACACCTGCTAGCGCACTTCTCAAGATGTTTACGTACTAGGTCAGTAGGCGGTAGGGTACACCATGTTTTGTGGCTGTTCAAACACATGAGCATCTACTCTATGAAAGCAATCTGGTCGAATGTGTTTGACTACCTCTGGAAGTGGCCAAAAATAGACAAGCTCAAAAAAAAAATTAGCCCCTTTTTACACCACAGTCCACTTGTGACCTGATGTACAAAAATGCTTCTAAGTACCAGGTGTAAACAAGGCCTTGGACAGCGACCTAGTTGGGATACAACAGTTAAGGGATTAATGCTTAAATGAAAGCAGTCTACTTTTCAATAAACATTACTGGGACTAGCCTGGAATAAAACCACCATCAACCTGCACTCATCCTTTATCCCAAGATATGAGTCTATACTTGCGTGACTGTAAAAAAAGCATTACAAAAAGCCAACAAGTGACCTTAGAGGGGGTTTGGGCATCAATATATGCAGTTATGCTAGTCCAGCCATAAAGTCGTATGTAAAGCCTCAAACAGACAGTAGCTAAAACCTTCATTTGATATGTGAAACATGAACAGGGGCCCAAGTGAACAACTAGAACTTGGCAAATAGTAAAGTTAAATGGCTTAGGCAGAAACCTGGCTTGTTTAGTTCAAGTCAAGAATCTCAATGGACGAAAGAAAAAGGTTTAGTAGTGCAGCCCTAGAAGTCAAACTGAGAACAGTCATGAAACATCCAACTCCAGTCAGAAATGAATACCAAAGAGAAACATGTTGAGTTTCATGAAGTTTATTAAAACACTAAAATTCACTTGACCAGGTTAACTTCTCCACTAGACACCACAGTTTGCCCACTAGAGATGGTCTTGACGTGCGTGTCTCTTCCTGTAAAAAGTGGTAGAAGCATGAGGGGCATTTAAATAAGTTCTCAGTTCCTGAAGTCAACTTACAGCAAGCACTCACTTTTCCTAGTGCAGCTTTGCTCACAGGAGCCAGAGGAGGGATGGCACACCGCTGTACTACAGTGGATGAAGATCTAACAGAGGGGGAAAGGGTTAAGCCATAGAATTACCTGTAAAAACTGTTGACCTGCTTGCTGTTGAACTGGCTTCTGAAACCGCTAGTCACACTGCTAAGATGATGCCCTTTGGTCTTTTTGTACTCTAAAGACGATATTAATTATCGATAATCCCTGCAGCAACATGTGTATAAAGCACACGGTATTAAAGTGAACTCGCACAATGGAAGTAATTTACAAATGTGTTCGAAATGCAACAACTGAGGATATTAGAAGACATGTTTGTCGTAAGTATTATTGTAAAAATATAGGATATGAACATAATGATGTAGTTGTTTTTATTTTTAGCTTCATTGCAAGTGTATGACATTTGGTATAGAAATAAACAATGCATGTAAAGTGCTTTTCCTAAAAATGAGAAAGAAAATACAGGGTATTAATAAAACAGTATGAACAACAAATAAAGTCAGTGTGTGAGGCTAAATAGATGTGTTTTAGTCTTTATTAGGTAAGATGTGCTTCCGTTTCAGTTTCAGCAATCCCTTCACTCGATTGGGATGTTCTCTTGTGTTCTGGGCGGCAAGTGCAGTAACTGTAACATCGGGCATATTTTGCAGTATTAAACACAGATTTATACCGACTTCATCAGGCTCCGAAAATTCTTCACAAAGAACACAAAAAGCCTTCTCAGCTGCCGTAGTTGCAACTCTTGCGTCATCACAACAGTGCGTTCAACGCGTCACCGTTTCTGTTTAAAAAACGTTCTGCAACGTTTTGTCGGCGCTGAACGCAGCCCTGGTGTTTCTGACGTCACAAACGACCTTGTAACCAATCAGATCAACGTGTGATCGTCAACCAGTGGATCAACCAGTGAGTGGAGGCGGGGCTCATTTGCATATTCATAGAACCACGCATACTAAATGAGGCAAGGGTGTAAAGTTTCATTCAAGCTATTTTAAGGCATGATGCCATTTTTTTTCAAAGGAAAAAACATTTAAATATGTCATTTTGGTGATCAAAGATGAGTTTTAAAGGGGTCATGAACTGGATTATTTTATGTTTCCTGGGGTGCACTAAAAATGTTAGTATGATTTTTACATCAAGAATTGTCATAATTTAGAAAGAAGAGGCATTTTTCCTAGCCTGATTTTAGCTTCTGATTTGAACGCTGTTTTAAGGGGCGTGTCTGTGTGAGACTTCAGTGTAAACGCCCACTCCTGTGATTGGCTGTGAGACTTCAGTGTAAGCGCCCACTACTGTGATTGGCTGTGAGACTTCAGTGTAAATGCCCACTGCTGTGATTGGCTGTGAGACTTCAGTGTAAACGCCCACTCTTGTGATTGGCTGTGAGACTTCAGTGTAAGCGCCCACTGCTGTGATTGGCTGTGAGACTTCAGTGTAAGCGCCCACTGCTGTGATTGGCTGTGAGACTTCAGTGTAAACGCCCACTGCTGTGATTGGCTGTGAGACTTCAGTGTAAACGCCCACTGCTGTGATTGGCTGTGAGACTTCAGTGTAAACGCCCACTGCTGTGATTGGCTGTGAGACTTCAGTGTAAACGCCCACTGCTGTGATTGGCTGTGAGACTTCAGTGTAAACGCCCACTGCTGTGATTGGCTGTGAGACTTCAGTGTAAACGCCCACTGCTGTGATTGGCTGTGAGACTTCAGTGTAAACGCCCACTGCTGTGATTGGCTGTGAGACTTCAGTGTAAGCGCCCACTGCTGTGATTGGCTGTGAGACTTCAGTGTAAGCGCCCACTGCTGTGATTGGCTGTGAGACTTCAGTGTAAACTCCCACTGCTGTGATTGGCTGTGAGACTTCAGTGTAAGCGCCCACTGCTGTGATTGGCTGTGCATCATTGCAACGCAATTTCTTCACTTTCAAGAATGCTTTCACCAAATAACAATGCAAACACGATGTAAATACAGTAAGAGCTTCGTTGTGCGGTGTAACAGCGTCATTGATTTCATAACGAGTTTTGGCAAGTGTCCAGATAACTCTCTCTGTTTGATTGACAGCTTGGGCGATTGATAACGGATCGTTCTTTGATCGCTTTCTGTATATATTTTAATCACAGTTTAAATAAGATTATTTTCGTCCTACTAAGAGACACGATGTGAAGTTGGTCGTTTAGTCACTAGCTTGATTTGCTGATGCATAAACAGTATTGAAAGATTATCTGTCTGAACTTGAATAATTACCAGAGCCGGCCGAGCCACTAAGCGACCGTTGCAATTGCAAAGGGCCCCGTGGCCAGCAGAGGGCCCCCTAGAGTCACTGCTAGATAGTGGGGGGAAAAATCGCACAACAAAAGTAACATAAAATAAATAAATAAAAAGAAATGGACCTACAGCGCTCTTTATCAGGCATCATGATAAGCACAGAGTTGTTATTTATTTAGTTCTGTATTATGGCAAATCAACCGGGAGCTCCCCGCGAAGGCGCGCGCGCGTCTTGATCCCGACTGCCCGTATGATGTCACTCGTTGTCACTCGGTCAGTCAGTTAGCGACTCCGACGAATCGACGATGTCTGACAAGAAACGAAAATATCTTTCTGGCCAAGAAAAACGACAAAAAAAAGCGCGGAAGAAGAGAAGAAGCAAGAAGATAAAGGTACGTAAGCCTGTAGGCTTAAAGGTGCCCTAGAATGTTTTTTTTTATTATTTTATAATGTTTCCTGGGTTACCCTTATAATGTTAGTATGTTTTTTAGATAAAAAATAATCATAATTTAGAAATAAATGGCATTTTTCCTAGCCTGCTTTTAGCCTCTGATTTGAACACTCTGTTTGAAGGGGCGTGTCTCTGTGGGATTCAGTGTAACCGCGGCCACTGCTGTGATTGGCTGTGGGATTCAGTGTAACCGCGGCCACTGCTGTGCTTGGCTGTGGGATTCAGTGTAACCGCGGCCACTGCTGTGATTGGCTGTGGGATTCAGTGTAACCGCGGCCACTGCTGTGATTGGCTGTGGGATTCAGTGTAACCGCGGCCACTGCTGTGATTGGCTGACATGCTTGCATATGAAATAGCTACGCATTACATGTGAAACTCTCTCCCGAATACTTTTACTACTGCTATTATACGTTTTTACTATAACAGCTATCGAGATTAACGAATCGTGAGATGTTTTTAAAGTATTTAGATCTGTAGCCACATCAAGATGTGCCTTAATTAGCTCAAATTATTTATAGGGAATTTTAATAATTAATCATGAAATATGATTAATATATTTGCATATTACAGTTAAATTATCGAAATTGAAAACAGATCGATTGCATGTATGAATGGTAAATCATAACGAATTATAATTCCTCATTCATATATCAATGGTCTCATTACAGATCGATTATATGAGATCACTTTAAGGGAATTAATTAGTTATCAAACAATCGGTTTGTCCAGCAAACAGCCGTAAGATTAACTTACCAACTTCTCAACAAAGTTATCCCTTTTTATAAACTCCAAGAAATCTCAATGTTCCGGCCGTGAACATTAATTTTCTCGTGTTTATAAAATTTACGTTACTGATATAGTAACAACTTGTAAAGCTTTGTAGCTATGAGATATTCATTTCATTGACTTGTAAATGAGCACTTCAGGATCAATCAAGAATATGGTTTTAATAATTGAAACTACGGATACAGAATTCTACATTTGAACACAGGATGCATGTATGTACAGTTAAACAGTAACACTAACGAGACAGACGAATAACAAACAGGAGTGAGAGAGAGAGAGGTTGCGAGAGAGAAAGAGTGGAAGGGAGAGAGAGAGAGAGAGAGAGAGAGAGAGTAAGAAGATGAGAGATCTTCTGGTTTGGCAAAATTCATCACAGACAGAACCTTTTGAGACAACAAGAATCACAGATCTTAAACCTCGAAAGAATGGTAAACGGTTACTTGCACAGGTAAAGCTCTTTTGTGGTTGATGTGAAGAATGCGTGTGTGTCTCTCTCTGTCCTCGTGTCACGAGTTCGGGTTCGTCCAGCGAGCGCGGCGTGTTTGAATGTCCTTGTAGGTGAAGCTTGCCAGTCTGGCTGTGTTCATTTTCTTCGCGAGAAGACATGAACAGAGGAGACTTCGAAAAAGATAAAATAAACTTGAAGAAAACAAAAAGAGAAACGATGGATCATCACACTAAGGCGATGTCCAGACGCACGAGGAGTCACATGATGAAGCATCGAAGAGAGCGTTCAGGAAGAGAGTTTCAGGAAGAGTTTCAGAAGCGTTTCAGAAGGGACAAGGGAAGCTCGGCGCGTCTCTTTAAGGACACTTAGGTTCACGCCCCTTCTGGCATGAAGGCACCAATCAGCTAGGAGAAAAGTGCCCGCGGAAGATTCCTCTTTGTCTTGTCAGGATCATTTATGATGGTATAACATTTTGTCATTCCTACCCAGAAAGATTGTACAAACCGGACAATAGATTTTACAGTAATATCCTATGTATGACTGGTTCAGTCAAAACAAGACGGTCAAACAGCTACCAGACATGGCAGGTAAAAGTAGAAGAACATAGAGTTACATTCATAAGCAGAATTACAAGCATTTTAAAGTTTCTTCACACGACTATAAAGCCATAATACCTGCTACCATGACCTAGGAAATATCAAATTCATGTTTATGCATTTCTTAAGTGGTTATACTTATAGACAATATAAGATTGCAGAGTCTATTCCTCTTTCTTCATCAGAATTCAAGTGGGAGCTGTGATTTTCCCTTGGAATTCCTTTTGGGAGTCATAAAGTTTTATGACCTAGCAAGAGGGAGAGTTATAGAATCTTTCTTTAGAAATAAACTTAAGGTTCGAAGTTACAGAACAGTTAAAATTACATCTATAGAATAAGACAAAACTAATTAGATATGCATGCATACAGGAAGGTCGTTTGTGTGCGGGTATGCGTGGATGTGATTGTTCAGTCAGCGTTTTCTCCGGGGGAATCCTGTGTGTGCGGATTTAAATTGACAATGCTCGTCTTGTCATCTTCGTAGGAAACCCTCGGGGCGCTCTCCGCGTGATCTC